TTACTACTAGATTTAGGCATAACACGCCCCACAAGAAAAATCCTGGCAGCATTTCAACGGCGAATAAACGCCAGTAACGCTCCTCACGATAGCTATACCAACCAGGATGAAACCATAAATTGTAGGGCCATGGTACCTCGTTATTTTATTTTATTATATTTTTCGTTCACCAGGGAACAGTAAAAGCAATCACAAAATTTGCATATGTACACTTCTGTAAATTAGCGCAATCTCGCACAGAATATAGCCTCAAACGTTCCCTACAAGCCTTCTAGCAGGTCACTTTTATGACAAATATATGAAAATGCTTGCCTAGACCGGAATGTATCTTTTAGTCTTCTCTATATAAAACAAAAAATGTGCCTAGCTTATAACACCACATATTTATAATCCTTTGTTTTATGATCTGTGTACGACAACCATTGTGGTTATGCACACTTGACTGTTATGCTCATGCACGACCTAAATAAAGAATTGAAAAAAAAAAAAAGAGCTTAGTGGTGCACTAGCAAAACCATTAACAGATTTATTTAACCAATCATTGTTAACAGGAGTAGATTGGAAGTTAGCGAATGTTGTGCCCATTCACAAGAAAGGTAATAGGGAGCAGTCGGGTAACTATAGGCCAGTAAGCCTTACTTCAGTAGTGGGGAAAGTAATGGAAACCATGTTAAAGGATGGGATTGTTGACCATCTAAAAACACATGGATTTCAAGATCAGAGACAACATGGGTTTACTTCAGGGAGATCATGCCAAACTAATCTTATTGATTTTTTTGATTGGGTAACTAAAATAATAGATCATGGAGGTGCAGAAGACATTGCTTACCTAGATTTCAGTAAGGCTTTTGACACTGTTGCACAGGGCCGCCATCAGGGGGTGACAACCATGACGGTTGCCACGGGCCCGGTGGTCCTGGGGGGCCCGGACTACTTTGGCAGTTCTGGGCCCCACATTCCCTCTCTGCACATATATAAAGTGATGATCGCTATATATATATGTGCAGCCGCGGGCCTCCGGCTCCCTGTATTTGCAGAGGGGGGTACAGTAGTCTGCATCTGAATGTTACAGATCTTCCCTCTCTCTAACTTCCGTGAGAGCCGCGGCCGTCAGAGCTTTGCCACGGGTTACCATGGCAATGCACGGCACGCTCGCGGGGAGTTAGAGATAGAGAAAGGGAAGAGCTATAACATACTGCTGCAGACTGCTGGACCCCCTGCAAATACAGGGAGCCGGGGGCCCCACAATGCCACCGGACCACCAGGGATGGAATCTTCCCCCTCCGTGAACCAGGTAAGAAGCAGGGAGGGGGGAATGACTTTTATTACATTTACATTATTACATTACATGCATACACTAGTAAACACACACACTCTGCATTCACTACACTAACACATACTCTGCATTCACTACACTAACACACACTCTGCATTCACTACACATTAACACACACTCTGCATTCACTACACTGACACACACACACACTCTGCATTCACTGCACTGACACACACACACTCTGCATTCACTGCACTGACACACACACACTCTGCATTCACTACACACACACACTCTGCATTCATTACACTAACACACACTCTGCATTAACTATACACGCAGCATCCACAACACAAACATCCTGTATTCACAGTACACACACTACATCCACCACACATTCAAACACTCTGCATTCCCTATACAGAGACACTGTGTCTAATACACACACTACAGACACTGCATCCACTAAACACATTGTATCTAGTACATACAAACACTACATCCACTACACACACACTACATCCAGTACTCAAACACACTCTGCATTCACTATACACAATGCATCCGCTACACAAACACACGCTCTGCATTCACTGCACAAACAGTATCTAATACACACAAACACTACATCCATTACACACATTCTAATTCACTTCCACTATACACACCACATTCGGTCCTGCATCATTGTCAGCGAACTAGGTAGGAGTCCCGTGGGAGGGCCAGGGGCGAGGGGGAGAGGGACAGGAGATAAGCCCATACCTTGTGCTATGTCAGGGGCCCCAACATTTCTGATGGCAGCCCTGCTGTTGCACATAGAAGGCTTATCAATAAATTGCAATCTTAAGCTTGGATTCCAATATTGTTGAATGGGTAAGGCAGTGGCTGAGTGACAGGCAACAGAGGGTTGTTGTCAATGGAGTATATTCGAACCTTGGGCTTGTCACCAGTGGGGTACCTCAGGGATCTGTACTTGGACCCATTCTCTTTAATATTTTTATTAGTCATATTGCAGAAGGTCTTGATGGTAAGGTATGTCTTTTTGCTGATGATATTAAGATATGTAACAGGGTTGATGTTCCAGGAAGAATAAGCCAAATGACAAATGATTTACGTAAACTATAAAAATGGTTAGAGTTGTGGCCACTGACATTTAATGTGGATAAGTGCAAGATAATGCATCTTGGACATAAAAACGCAAGGGCAGAGTACAGAATATTTGATAGAGTCCTAACCTCAACATCTGAGGAAAGGGATTTAGGGGTGATTATTTCTGATGACTTAAAGGTAGGCAGACAATGTAATAGAGCAGCAGGAAATGTTAGCAGAATGCTTGGTTGTATAGGGAGAGGTATTAGCAGTAGAAAGTAGTGCTTATGCCATTGTACAGAACACTGGTGAGACCTCACTTGGAGTATTGTACGCAGTACTGGAGACCGTATCTTCAGAAGGATATTTTAATACTTTGGATAGAGTTCAGAGAAGGGCTACTAAACTGGTTCATGGATTGCAGGATAAAACTTACCAGGAAAGGTTAAAGGATCTTAACACGTATAGCTTGGAGGAAAGACGAGACAGGGGGGATATGATAGAAACATTTAAATACATAAAGGGAATCAACACAGTAAAGGAGGAGACTATATTTAAAAGAAGAAAAACTACCACAACAAGAGGACATAGTCTTAAATTAGAGGGACAAAGGTTTAAAAATATCAGGAAGTATTACTTTACTGAGAGGGTAGTGGATGCATGGAATAGCCTTCCAGCTGAAGTGGTAGAGGTTAACACAGTAAAAGAGTTTAAGCATGCGTGGGATAGGCATAAGGCCATACTAACTATAAGATAAGGCCAGGGACTAATGAAAGTATTTAGAAAATTGGGCAGACTAGATGGGCCGAATGGTTCTTATCTGCCGTCACATTCTATAGTTTCTATAGTATCCTTTTAAAAGGAGTAGGAAAAGGTGGAGTCTAAAGAGGAAGGGGTGGGTTCTTAATCAGGAAGAGGTGTGGCCTTGACCAGCAGGGGTGGAGCAAATTTAGATTAGGGGGGGTGCCCAGGTTTAGTCATGCCTAGGGCAGCACCAAACCAAAATACACCACTGTTCTGCCCTGCTGATGTATGATTTTATTAATTACAATTTGAAAGACCTGCCTGGAAACCAGGCAGAATGCCAGAGAATTTAATTTGCAAGCCCTACATTTAACCCTGTAAATTAAAAAATAAAAATAAAACTTGTACATGGTGGGGTACTGTTGTACTCGCGAGAACGTTGCTGAACACAAATATTAGTGTTTCAAAACATTAAAACATATCGCAAAGATTATATCAGTGAAATTGCAGTTTGTGTGTGAAAAATTTAAAAAATAAATATGAACGCTAACTTTGGCCAGCATTCGTGACCAAGTGGCAACTAAAGTCTAGACATAATCCATTTTAAATACCCAGGATTGTCTACCTTTTCAAATGGTATGCCATGATGGGGTAATTTTAATTCTTATGCTGCTATGCGATCTCAATTACTAAATAACTAATCGGGCAAATGTAAATGTGCTTTAGAGCAGTAAAACGCAGTTTTTTGTGTGAAAAATGCAAAAAAATAACAAATATGAACGCTAACTTTGGCCAGACATGTGACTGAGTGGCTACAAAAGCAGACTGGACATAACCCCTTTTGACTATCCTGGATTGTCTACTTTTGCAAATGGTATGCCATGATGAGGGTAAATTCTATTCCTGGGATGCCAAGTTTCAATGTTTAAAAACTGAAAATAGGGAAAGCCCTATATTTGACCCTGTAACTTTCCAAAAATCCATAAAACCTGTATATGGGCAGCACCTTTGTACACGTGAGACATCACGGACCACAAATATGTGTGTTTTTTTATTGCAGTAAAAGCTAACGGTATCATGACTTTCACAGTTAACATGCCATCCAGAACTTTAAAACAATAACATTCCTTAATTTCATTTTATGCATATTAAATTATATTTCATATATAAATAGTTGACGTGAAATGAAAACCCTATTTCTCCTGAACACAATGATATATAAGTGTAGGTGCACTTAATATGAAAGAGGTGAATTATGGTGAACAAACATATAGTGAAAATTCCAGGTTTTGTTTTGATTAGAACTTCTACAAATGCCTTAGTCGTTAAGGGGTTAAAGACACATTGCTGAGAGTGTTATTGTGGAGCTCTGTTATACACTCAAACACACCGATAATATGGAGCTCCTAGAAAAGAGGGATATTAGGATAGAAAATAGGAACTGGTTTATTTGGGCCCAAAATAGGGTAATGGAGAAACTCGGAGGTTTGCAAACAGGCCTCAACAGGCAACATGTGCTGCCTATTGTTATATATAAAGGTTTATATACTATATACAGTTTTAAAACTCTTGCGAAATAGTGGGGCGGGGCCTGACCGCTGAACTGGATGGACGTGGGGCACCTCGGCTCCACGATGCAACATCGATAATCAGCCCAAAAAAGCCTAAAATTGCCTTGTCTCCCCTGGGAAAAACATCCAGCAGCTGCAAGAAGGCACAGGGGACCCGAACAAAACTCGGCCTCCATCCTACCAGGCTCTGGTGGGAGAAACAGCCAATCTCCCGTACTTAGTCCGGTGGGACCTCCCGCACTCCTGCTGAGACCCCCCCCCCCTTCTAAAACATCCGAGCCGTGAACGGATCAAACAGAGACCGCATGGCAAAAATCAAGATGGCCACCGCACCCATTACAAGCAGAAGAACAGAAGCGGCAGCATTAGAGCAACGGCCGGGCACTTTCCACAAACCGAAGCAGACCAGACCACCAAGCACTGACAGCGGTCCGCAAACATCTTCATCATGTGGGCTCGGTTCATCTTTACACTGCCTGAGGCAACATCTTTCACCGCTACTGGCGGAGCTGTGGGGACTTAAATGGGACTCCAACCCTGCTCAAAAAAGAGGAGAAACAGGGCACGAGAACAGGCTTCATTTTATTCCAGAGGGTGATGCAAGCAGACACGGGAGATCTATTGCACTCCTGGCCAACAAGTACCCAAGCTACCCAGCGATCAAAGTGAAACATAAGGGACTTGAGTACAGCCAGGACGCCAGCCAGATCAGCATAGCTGCAGGAACAACTAAGCAGTTACTAATCCTATATAATTAAAGTTCTAGCAGAGCACTGGATATCCTCTATGCTAGCATTTCATTTTTAATTTTTAATATTATTTTTGAGCATATCACAGTTGATCTTAACCCTGCAGATCCACACAGAAATCACCTGTAGATGACTGAGCCCACCTGTATGTTTTAATATGTTTTAACCTGTATAACTCATCCGGCTAGTCTAGTGACTCGCTGACCCCTGGTGGTTAAATTAAATCGGAGTAGAGCAATCAGTACCTGAAGTTATTTTTGCATAGCCTATAATATAAGCATGTATATGTATACTATTGTTTCAAAATACTTACCCTTGATGTTAGTTTATATGCCAGTTGTCTATGATTTATGTTGCCAGCTTACTGACATAATCAATGTTTAACCAAGAGTCAAGCATGAATAATATACAAAAATTGTGCAGTCTGAATCTATGTCTATTAACCTAGAATTGCAGGTATCTGCTGTTGTGGTAATGGTGGCAATCATGTATGTATTCTCTATGCACACCAAATTAAAGAATTAAAAAAACAAAACAAACAAAAAACTGTTGCGAAATATAAATTTTTTAGGGTTACTAACTAAAGTGAGAATTGTTGTGAATTCAAATTTAAGGCCAAAATAGCTGAACTGAAAAAAATCTCCAAGTCAGCTACACTTCCAGTTCAACTAATTTGGCCTTAAATTTGACATTCATGTTAGATTCACTTTGAATTCCTTTTAGTGAATAATCCTGTTTGTGTAAATGTTACACTTGTTAAGAATACATGTTTTCTTTTCTGCAGTGCCTAGTAATGGGTTAGTTCATATTATGGTTTTAGTTGTTTTGGATGCAGTTAGTGACCTCTAGTGGTAGGTTAAGGTGTAAGAATTTAGTACGAGATTTAAAAAAAATAGCAATAGGACATAGTTGTAGAAAAAAAATAACAATCATGAGAGGTATAGAAAGATAAGTTATTGGGTAGGAGGGAGATTCAGCTGGATTTTGAGGAAGTTAGATATAAGAGAAGAACCTGTTGATGAAGATGGAAAAATAAGCTTCTAGATTTAATTATCCCAAACTAAATTACCACTACTTAAAGGACCACTCTAGGTACCCAGACCACTTCAGCTTAATGAAGTGGTCTGGGTGCATGGTCCCTCTAGGATTAATCCTTTTTTTTATAAACATAGCAGTTTCAGACAAACTGCTATGTTTATAAATGGGTTAATCCAGCCTCCAAAGCCTCTAGTGGCTGTCTCATTGACAGCCGCTAGAGGCGCTTGTGTGCTTCTCACTGTGAAAATCCCAGTGAGAAGATGCCAGCGTCCATAGGAAAGCATTATGAATGCTTTCCTATGAGACTGGCTGAATGCGCGCGCAGCTCCTGCCGCGCATGCGCATTCAGCCGAAGAGGAGGATCAGAGGAGGAGGAGAGCTCCCCGCCCGGCGCTGGAAAAAAGTAAGTTTAACCCCTTTCCTCGCCATCCAGCCCGGCGGGAGTGGGACCCTGAGGGTGGGGGCACCTTCAAGGCACTATAGTGCCAGAAAAAAACAGTATGTTTTCCTGGCACTATAGTGGTCCTTTAAATGTGAAAAAGAAACCAAGAATTCATGTTCATGTATGATTTATTTGTGAAGTATTTGTTTGCATATAGAAAATAAATTCCATTTCAAATAATTAACATGTAACATTAATTAGATTTTTAATAAAATGGTTATATGTTAGACAAAGTACACACCACGGACAACTTTGGACAGAATATAGTTTGACAAATTAGGTAACTAATTTAACTGGAGGGATCGAACTTCATTGGAATACAAGGCCCTGGGGAGATAGCACAGCTAAGCGGACAAGGGCACTTGTATGAGTGTGGGGATGGATGCTTGTGATTGGTTGTATGTGTGTATGGGAGTAGTTATGGGTTTGGGAGTGGGGTAGGGATGATCTTACCTCAGCTCCTCCTGGGAGATGGGCCAGCAAACAACTTACCCTTACTCTGTTGCTCCTGTTTGTCCTGGGCCTGGAATGCTTTATGCTTGAGGATGGATGTGGAATCAATCCTTTCTGCCCTCAGAGCTGCAGCTGCCCTGGATGGTGACCCGCACCTTCGTGAGCAATTTGCTCACCTCCAGCCTGGTTTGGCCGCCGATGTGGGTCCCCCTTATAACCCCCCGCAGCCAGGCCTCTGCTCCTGCTGAGCCCTGATGCCTCACCTCAAGCCTGTTATAGGAGCCGGAGCCTGGGCCCGAGGCGCCGTCAGGCCTGCGTGTCTGCCCCATCTGACATGCGGCCTGTTCCCACTGAAGCGTCCCACGCGCCCCCTTCTGGAAGACTGCCTGCACAGCCCGGTGCGTCTGGGAGGCCTTCTCGGACTCCACGTGTTCGGCGCAACGGTGGACCTGTGACCGGGCCTGCGGTGGTGAGTGGGTCCCGTGGGGCCACGCATGGCTCAGCTGTGCCAACGTTGGGGGGGTGGAAGGGGGTCCTCCCCGGGCTCTAGTGGGTCCTCCGAAGGGGTCCCCCTCCCCTCCCTCACTCCCTCCCCCCCATGGTGTCCTCCCCGTCCTCTTTTATTGGCCCCCCATCCTCTGCTTCTCTGGTGCCTTCTGTCCTGGGTTCCCCCCTTTCTCTGCTCCCCTCTCTAGCCCTATCTCCCATTTTCTGCCCCTCTCCCTCCTGTTCCCTCTGTGTCCCCTGCTGGTCCCCCTTTCTCCCCTGGCTACTTACCTCAGCTGCCCTCCTCTGTGGGGTGTGAGCTTACCTCCTCTCCGCTGCTCTTCTCACAGGATCTGGCTGCTGTTCCTGGGACTGCCCAGCAGGTGGCGCCTGGAGCTGAACTTTGTTGAAAGTGGACTTACCTTTGCCGTGGGTGGCCCCTCAGTCATCGGCTGGTAAGTATGGTAGTGTTTCTTCATTACAGTCAGGCGGTACCTCGCTGGGAGGGTTTCTTGTGGCGCTTCTGGGGCTTTTTGGATCAGTGGGAACAGGAGATGCAAGCGTGTAGGCAGGGCCGGACTGGGGATACAAAGCAGCCCTGGAAAACATTTTTATGCCAGCCCCATAAGTCACTGCGCCATATATTATCACGTGTAATATGTAAGGCTATGTCTTGCCATGACAGATGATTGAGTTATATATATATTTTGCTTTTTCTAATATAAAATATTGGTCCTTTCAGAGTAAAACGTTTAATTATACAGTAAGCTTACTCACATGCAGACGCAGACAATCTCACTGACATCTTAATGACACACACAAGCTCATTGATACACAGACTTATAGACAGACAATCTCACTGATATACATCAGCTCATTGACATAAAAACACAAGCTCACTCACTAGCAGGCACACGCGTGCAAGCAAGCTCACTCACTAGCAGATGCACACACACAGTTTAATGTAGTGGTACTGGTGTCTATAGCATGTCCCTACAGGCTTTTCAACGTAAACACTGACTTTTCAGAGAAAAGGCAATGTTTACATTGCTTCAAAGTGACACTGCTAGTGACAGTCACTCAGACGGTCACTAGAGGTGCTTCCTGTGTCAGTGCACCTGCATTCAGGGCCTCCACACTCTGTAGGTGCTGAACGTTCCCCATAGAGATACATTGATTCAATGCATCTCTATGAGGAAATGCTGATTGGTGTAGCGTTTTGCAGCCAATCCTATGGCAAAGCATTGGATTGGCTGAGATCATCAAGCTTGATGATCTCAGCCATAGAGTCAGGGCCAGTCGAGGGGAGACCAGCACGCTGCGTGGGGAAAAAAAAGTGAGCAAAAACACTATTTTTAAACACACATATACACCATGACAGACACAGAAACACACATATACCATGACAGACACACACACCATGACACAGACAGACCCACACACACACCATAACACAGACAGACACACACACACACACACATACCATGACACAGACAGACAGACACACATATACCATGACACAGACAGACACACACCCCATGACACAGACAGACACACACCCCATGACGGACAGACAGACAGAAAAACACACACCATACAGACACACAACATGACAGACAGACACAACATGACACAGACAGACAAACTCACACTGACACACATTACTACTACCTGCCAGGGGGTTGTGCATTGCAGATGGCTGTCTGTGCTGGCGGCCACTGGGGGAGGTCTTCTGGCGGCCGCTGGGGGAGCTGTGCTGGCTCTGCTCTCCACCCTCGCGCACTGCTGAATGAGACCGGGGCCTGAATATGACATCATATACTGGCCCCGGTCTCATTAAGCTGCGCGCTGGGGAGCAGAGACAGCGCAGCTCCCCCAGCTCCCCCAGCGGCCGCCAGAAGACCTCCCCCAGCGGCCGCTAGCAGACCCAGGTGTCTACCCGGCCCCAGGTGGCGACGGCCCACCAGGAAATTTCCCGGTATCCCGGTGGGCCAGTCCGGCCCTGCGTGTAGGGATTCCACCTTAGATGGTCAGCTTCGGTCAGTTTGGTCCACCGCTCAGCAGCCACAAGGGGTATAGGCGGTTTAAAGGGTTTTGGGGTCCCCCTCACCGTGTTTAGTGTCCCTACTGGCATTCCACCTGCGGTGTCGGGTTTCACGGCGCCTGCTGTACTTGGGGTTATATGTGTTGGTTCATGCCCTTGTGTTTGCACCTGAAACAAGTTAGGGCGAAAATTTGGAAGGGAGAAATTTTACATTTTCTCCCTCCTGCCAATGGAGGAGGCTCCGCCGTTGGTGGAGTTGGTCGGAAAAGAATCGGAAAAAGACAAAGAAAAATACCGTTACCGAAAGATCCCAAAGACTTTCGGTAATTATATTCGCGCTTTTTCTGTACTAGCTACTGTCATTGGGGAAAAGGTTCCGCAGCAGTGTATCCGCATTGTTCTGCTACCAGGACATAATTTGGAACGCTTGTCATACCTATGGCGGGCTGGGGTGGTGGAAGTGTGACGAGCAATTCCGTCAACAGCTGGCGGTCCGCCCCTCAATTTCATGGGACCAGATCAACATTGGCCTCTGGCTCTCCATTA